GCATTCCACTCAAACCAAACGAGAAAAGACGAATTAGCTAACTGGTTTAGAATTCATAGATAATGTAGGGAAAAGGTAAGAGGTGTTTTTTCGTTTTTCTTCGGAGTTGAATACATGCCGCTACCTTTCGAAACAATCGTTTCGATGGGCTTGCAATTGATCCGCCAATAGCACTTGCAGGTGCGTCCTTTCTATCACAGTTATCACGCTTGGAGAATAATTGAGTGGATATGGCACATTGGACTTTCTTGTTGATCACTTTGCCAGGGAAAGTGGATCCAATTGATATTGCGAGAGCACCATCTTCGTTTTCGCCAAAAAATCTCTCACGTGTTCATGATCTCCTTGCATCGCTCTTATTCCCTCTAATTACCTTACTATGTGGACGTATGGTATTAGAGACGGAATTCACGTTTTGACTGTTTAAGCCAATATAGCTTGATTAAGCAGAAAATGTACCATTGGCCAATTTTAATGATCTTGTCTTAACCAGACTTGTTTAAAAGCCTTATTTTCAGTGTACTTGGGTTACTATCTTCTCATAACTTATATCTTGACTTGTCTCGGGTTCGTAATTCATGCAACGCTTTTTGTGAGCATAAAGTTGAAGACCTAGCTTTTAGATAAGGGATATAGGCAACGTTGACATTAAATCGAACTACTTGTTGTCATCTGGATACCAGGCTCTTTCCAAAAGTAATCAGCTGTATTTCGCATCTTAAAAATCGAGCATTTGAGCATTTAGAAGCCAGGATTTAAGGTTACGGGAAAATGTCATAGCGATAGTTACACTGGCAAGTGAGTAGAGTTGTCAAATTCTACGTTATCAGCTTGTCATCGTGTTGGTGACTCCATTTGACTGATTCGCAATCTTTCTCATCACAATGACACAAAATGATGACATCTGATTTTGGGAAATAGAGTCAACTTATCGGCGGCTTACCAGTATTTGATCAAGAAGGGTTCTGAAAATATAGCATTGGCTACTCGTCAAATAGCTGAGACTTCTGTCGTGCTTTCAGTTGCCAACACTCTACCAGTTAAAGTCAATCCATGGCCAGTGAAGCCATAATTTGACAGTTTTCTAAATACCTTGATTGGATTTCGTGAATTTTGGCCACATGACAGATAATTAATCAGATAATTATCAACCGATAATTAATTAAAACAATAACTATTGCGCTAAACGAGAAGCAAAGTAGTAGTAAAACAAATAAGTTTTCAACTCTTAAGCGGAAATTCAAAAGAGAAATTGTGGCAGATCGAATGACATTCGGATTTTCGTTAATTTATAATGATATTACAGAATTTGCCTATTCGACAAAAGAATTCACGGCTAAAACAGAGGTAGAGGCAAGAACTAGGAAAATTAATTGTGCTCATCTCATTTCGAAGAATTTGTAGTACTATTTTGTCAAGCAATCTTTCAAGAGTCTCGTTTGAAATTTGTGGTCAATGTAAGGGATGACATTTAGAGAAACATCATTTCATTTGCAGGCCTTAAAGAATGCGTTAATTGGACGGGTTTAGTAATATTTCAATCTTGAACGGTGATCGAGCCCATAATACAAGAGGATTATTTTCCTTTTCGGTCAATAATAAAAGGTAACACTTTCGCTTTGAAATTATTTTAAGGTGGAAATACGCCCAATGTGAGGCAAGCAATGACGAAATTGTCTGTATTAGAGACATTGACGGGTTCAAACCAAAGACTAAGCACCTACCCTATCGATGTACCTTGATCAAGACTTCTTGTAAGCTTTATTGTTGATTATCTGTGGGAACGAATGACTCGAAGAAGTCATGGGTTAGGAGAACTGGGAAAATTTTGTGACAGTCTAATGGAAAAACCTTCTTTATAAAAATAAATAGGTTGATAAAAGACTAGCTTACTTCTAAGTGACATTTTCACACAATATACAAATAAAAGGCTATGTTTGAGAAAATGTAGGAAAACCGGTATGCTCTTTAGGGGGGTTAATGTGTTAAAATTTATGTTGGAAAGCGGGTGTGGGACAGACTTACCTCCTCGTGGTGTACCCTGGGCAACGTATACCCATACGGCAAAAAAAGTCTATTAACTGGCAGTTGACTTCTGGCTTCAAACTATCATGACCCCACTGTATGTCATATTCTACCCCTTCCACAGTACTAATCTTTTCTTTTCTCTGACTTTTTGTCTGTCTCTGAAAACATGGAATTGGCTACTCGTCTAATAGCAGACTTCTATTGTGCTTTCAGTTGTCAATACTCTACCAGTTAAAGTCAATCCATGGCCAGTGAAGTCATAATTTGACAATTTTCTCAATTCCTTGACTGGGTTAGAAATTGCCGTTGTCCTATGTTTTGGCCCTGGAACACTTTTTCACCTCAAGTATCCCTTCAAACCCTCCACTCCGAGTACAGACTGATCGACGGCTTCCTCACCGCCGATAATCCAGAATTTTTAAGATCAAGCACAATACTATTTATACATTCAGAAGACTGTATATTCACCACTGAATACTATAAAATAAACATATTAATTTTGTTAGGGTATTACAAATTATCCCTACATCATTGGGCAGGGGGAGGGGGAGATAGACATCGAAACGAAGTTATAAAAACCACATTTTAAAAATAAATCCTCCGTGTAGTAGCATAAGAATAGTGCCGCAAATTTGATCAGACGAGGTTTGATCATTCTAAGCATATTGTTTTGCTCGGGAGTAGAGCGCCGCCTGGTCAATTGGAGATAGAATGTCGCCAAGGTCCGTTAGTGGTTGCTATGACAAGCATTCCCGCCAGAAACCGCTTCCCTATATACTTCGCATCAAATTCAAATCTGCCTCTCCCATGGGGGCGCTTATAAACATTCTTTGCAGTCATTGTAACCTTTGTTCACTTCCACCAGGCAAGAGCGGGATTGTGCAAGTTGCCGAAATGTAAGGCGGTCTAATCACCACAACAACACACCGTTCCCACCTTAAAAATGGCGCCAAGAAGAGAGTAAGGGCATTTAAAAAATAAGAAAGCGAATGGAATGAGCACTTAACACACTGTCTTACCAAAAGATGCGATGTTATAAGACAGGCTAGCAGCGTTTCACCATCGTTGGTTGTTTTTCGACCATGGTTACGACAAAGTGATGAATTCGAGAAGGCGACTTCAACAGAATTGACTTTATGAAAAACTTAGTCAATGTTTCTTAATTAGCGAAAGCGTAGTTCTTCCAGGATATGGAAATATTTCTGCATTCTTTGCTCTCCCTTCTACTTTCTTGAGGTCCGAAAAATATGGCGAAGGCGCCTCATTGCTATGCCAACCCCTATTACCTTTCCTCTAGCCTTGAAGTACTACAAAAAAATTCAGGTTTCTCAGCATTAACGCGTATCCAACAAACGAAACAACTCAATGGTCATCATAAACCGAACGAGAAAGCATTGGTAACAATGTAGTTATATAGTCCATTTGAAAAAGAGAGACTGGTTAGCCTTGAACCAATTAAATGTCTCAACTAATCATTGTTAACCAATCATAAAATAAAAGAAAAAAATTAAGGGTAAAATTAAGACCTAACCGAACCACCGAACCGCATAAAGACCTATTACTACTCCTATATATCGGCGAACCGAACCGCTCGCCCACGCAAATCATGATTGGCTAAATGGAAAAGTCGTGGCATATTAGGGTTAGATTTTCATTGCACAGGTCCACAACCTTGCTATTGAAAAGTGTTTAAGTAGCATTTGTAAATGGGTATGAGGATACGGGTGGGGTGCTGGGGAAGCCAGAAGTAAAGTTGGAATTTCGGTGTTCTTCGTAAATGAGAGCTCAAAGTCCCATCAAAACGCAAAAATCTACTATTTTGAAGTTTCAGATGGCAATGTTTCACAAATTAGAATGGATCAACTAACCAAATGGCGTTTTGACATGACATCAAAAGAGCTAAACGTATAAAAATACGTTAGTTAAAATATGTTGGTAACAGACAATAAAATGCTTTCAGACCAAAGAAGGTAGCAGCGTTAAATGCGAAAATTAAACCAAATAATTTTATGCATTACATATGCTTGCAAGGATATTGCTTGTATATGCGAATATGGATCCGCTAATTTGGAGTTCATTACTTAGGCAATGAAGTTGACGATTATTTGGAATTTGTCGCATTCCTCTTCAATCCGCACTTCTTCTTCTACATTATGCTGCTCCACCACTTCGACTGCCATCAACATGAAGCCAAGCAATTAGGGTCCAAATATACCACCAAATGTCATCTCACACAACTCAGCTTGAACCGTCGATGAGCTATTTCTATGAGGATATGGCCTCATATTATCATCATCTCTATTTGTTTCCAACCCATCCCACCATCATCGTTAAATTCGCCTTTTTTCCTACAATCAATTGAATTCGACATACAGTGAGGTCTTGGTAGTTAGAAGTGAGAAATCAACTGCCGATTTATAGACTTTTTGCCGTATGAGCATACGTTGCCCAGGGTGCACCACGTGGAGGTAAGTCTATTGCACACCCCTCGTGTCCTAACTCTACTCTACTCTACTCTACTCTACTCTACTCTACTCGATTGAATTCACCCATTCCACTTTCTTTACTTACTGAATAAGAAATTGATCGCGTTTATTTACTTCAAGGTTAACTTAATTGTCAAAAAGTGTAAGAATTACAACAATTATAACAATCTACAAGAAAGACAAGAACGACGCGAATGTGAAAATTCGCAACCAACAAATACGACGGTTCACTCACCTCAAGTTGATGGCAAATATGATAGGGGAATCATCGACAGATGAGGCCTTTGGCGGC